CACACTTGTTCGTTAGGCAGCCTGCTTAGCCAGTTTCTTTTTTTTTTCGCGATCAAAAATACCTTTTTCACCGTACTGTCATCCAATCGATGATGCGCAGTGTTTTGCACGAAATTATGGTGGCTTCGTATGAGGACGTGTGAGGATTTTTTGGTGTTCACGAGTACATCCAGGAAGTTGTTGGTTCTCATCGTTTCTTAGCGGCGCGTTTTACAACGCTGTATTTGGCTGATGTTCCGCGAAAAAAGGTTGTCAAAGGATTTAATTTATTCGTTGTTTCCGGTTCCATTGTACCGATTGTCGTACAATGCTGGCCCAGGACTGAATGTATTCAAGCGGGTAAAAGAATGATCGTCCTCGCCTATATTAAAACGTTTTTTTCTTGAAACTGCACAGTGAAACTTTCCCGGTTAAAACATGGCTAGCAAGAGAAAGAGTACCAATCGCGTGGTCAACGAACGGCGTCCTGTGCAAGAAATCGGAATTCATCGAGCACGTATTTCTAAACTGTTGGGACGCAGTTTTTTCTCGGATATCCTTCGAAGAACCCCGAAACGCCTCAGGGCATTCGTTTCCTGTCCGTCGAAGAAGAGGTTAATGTGCCCTACGACACGATAATGCCTTTGGGCCTGCACAGTATTTGGCGATCTCGTGTGGCGGTACGCCAGGCAGGTATAAATGTGCGCCCTGTGTTCAAGTATTTTGTTGAACATGTGTGCTTTTTGAGAGAAGCGTTCAAGGTGCAACCGCCCCTTCCTGAGTGGTTGCTCGTTCTCAGAGAGCTGGCTACGCTCAAAGATTTTTATCATTTATCAACCAAGCTGGCTGATTTTTAATCTTTCACTGTTGTTGGTATTTCTATTAAAATCAGATTGATTTTGTTGTTTCATGTATAGAATTACACGAGATAAATAAAAAGAAAGAAAAGAAGCCTTGCGTGACTTCGTCAGTAGCGTGTTTGGCTCGCAGCCGAAGGATCGTCGGATCAGATCCCACCTAAATTTTTTGAAAAAATATCTTTTTTGAGGAATGAGGAAATGAGAAAATGGTGTACACAGGAAGCTGAAAGTCAAACAGTCTTCTCGCGTTCTTTTTTTTTTTTAAGTTCTTTTTACCTAGTACCAGATTAACACAGAATCGGATCTTAATTGACTCTTCAAACTTTCTGAGTACGATGTCACATAATTAGTTACAGATTATCATGTGCCTATTTTGATTAAATGTGTTGGTTTATTGATTACCACTGCGTGTTATCTTTTGGGATAGCTCGTGCCCGCCTTTGTCGTTTGTGTGAACCATGACTGCCCTTTCGTTGTTCGCGATTATTTTGGTGCATGGATCACTTCTACGGTTTTCTGACCGTTTCCTTTATGTTATACTTTGCACTTGCTGTTTCAAATGTAATGAACAATGTTCTTTGTTTTTTTGTGTGTTTTTTTCCTAATAAGGGATGGATGCTTGAAGAAAATGTTTGTGGGGTTCTAATTATTCTAAGCACCCGGTTATAACTTTTGATAAATATTGAACGGCGAGCCGAAACTAAATTAATATGTATTGTGTTTTTTTTTTTTGTTCTTTTTCTTCTTTTTTTTTTAATGAATTGGCCGTTCTCACGCACAAGCACGCAAGTGTTTTGTACGGCGGAGTTTTGTACCTTAATGCGGATTTGTCAATAAACTGTTATTATTATTATTATTATTTATAATAATACAATCCTATGAGTGCAGGTTCTAGGAAAAAATTAAGCCTGAAAACACGGGTTTTCAGGCATAATTTTATGTTGTGCGCAGAAAATAAAACTGTAAAAACCGGTTGGATGAGTGCTCGCAAATAAAGAATCAGAAGAAAAACAAAAAAACAAATCTGAGTAATTGAGAGCTGAACAAGCAGATCCGAACATGTGGCCAACTCTGACTTGGGAGCAGCAGCATCAACCAAGTGACTTTGACCATTTTCCTCCTTGTACAGAGGGGGGGGGGGGGGGGGGGGGGGGGGGAATTAAAAAATGACTATTTAGGCTTAGACTTTTTCCCTAAAACTCACGCTTATGAAATTTCGGTATGATAAACGCACCACCCAAAAGGCTCCTTCGTGAAAAGTTCGAATGCGCTTCGTTTATTGGTTTATTTATGCGAATTCTGTTTACGCGTGGAATCCCGCTCAGGGAAGGCTCGTAATGTCTACGTGTATGCCCACGCGGGCAGCGACGCTTCATTTTCCACGCAGTCATATCAGGGACGAGTTGTACGCATTCCAAGATTATGCTAATCGCGTAAAGCATACGTCGGTAATGTTGCGCGCGAGGGAAGAGCCCTCGGCGTGAGCCCGCCTCCTTCTCGACGGGGCCCGGTGGGGAACTCGGCGGTGGCCAGCGAACAGGTCCCAGAGGCCACGAGATAACAGAGTTGTCGGAACGAGCAGTTACACGAGTGTCCATTTGTGCCCGCCTAGAGCGCCCCCGGCGGCTCGGCATTTTTCCCTCTGCCCTCAAAGATTGCTTCATCCCGGGCAATTTCGGCCCTCGAAGCCTTCTCTTTTGCCTGCTCGTGGGCGCGGTCACGAAAGGCTTGCTGCTCGAGGGAATTACTGTAATTCCAGCAGGCACACGAGGTTTTACATCTTGATCAATTCTCGGAGTGCGAAGAGGAACTGGGACATCGGAAACCTGGTCCCACCTTGCGATGATGACAAAGTACAGAGAAGGGGCCCGGACAGCCTACATTTCGTGGAGCCATCAATCACATATACCGTAAACAAATAAAAAGACGGAAGTTTAATTTGTAATTAAAGGAATTCCTAGAGCATTATGCACATAAAAAAATATCGAACTCCTTTTTACGCGGGTGCACGCTAGCTGGTGCATTATTGCGCGAAAATTCGAGACACGCGTTTTTTCGGGATATAATAAAAACAAAGGCTACGCACACAAACTAGTGCTGGGCGTGGATTAAAAGTCTTAACCCGATTAATCACCGACCTTTATTCGATTAATTAATCTATTAATCGGCCTCGTTTTTTTTTTTTTTTTTTTTTTTTTTACGTATAAGTTCAGTTCAAACACGTTCAAACACTCACACTCACAGATAATTACCTCAGCTGCATGAGGCGCACAGAGGTTCGTTGACCGGCAAGACGGATCTCCCTCGATTATTCGCGAAGGTCTTTGCTGCACTAAAACCGACACTGGGAACAGCGTTCAAGGGGCCGGACACCTGTAACCTTCTGCACTTGTCTGGAGTTACGAATCTCTCCTGTACAGTTTGCATTATTCTAATATTTGAGCTGAAGTTTGCCCTTCATACGGGTGTACTTGTCCACGTCTGCGTCGTGAAAGCGTTTAAATTTTACTTTATTTTGTTTCGTCAAAATCGTACGGATTAACCGGTTAAAACGTTCAATCGCGATTAAAGCGTTAATCGATTCATCGGTAGGTTAATCTATAGATTGCCCAGACCTAACACAAACACAGCGTTCACGCGTGCACAGGCACACGAGTATACTCATCTCCGTGTGTTGGCGGTCGAACGCCAGCTACTACGCTAGTGGCGCTACGCGCGTTTCTCGAAACGTCCCCTGGAGTTCCCTCAAGGAGCGTATATATTCGTGAATTGTGTCAACGAATTTAGTCTCCGGCATACCTTCAGAAATGACGCACTAGGAGCTTCCTTCAGCTCACTACTCGACAAACCTGAAGTCCAAAGGTGAGAGCGTTAACGCGCGGCTTTAGCATCCTGTCGGCGTCAATATTAGCTGCAGGCTACACACGCCGCGGTTGTCGGTCTGACAGGCCGAATAGCACTTGTGTCGAGATAGGCTCCCTCGTGCAAGCGACTCACGTACCCGAGCGATAGTCGGCCCTACTTCTCAGTCCCGAAGAGAGCACGATTTATGCGCTGAACAGAGCAGCCGGCTCCCGCCATCGTCAAAGGGTAGTTCCGCAAAAATAGGCCTCAAGAAGCGGCGCCATTCCGGGCCATCGTGGACGCGATCACCGGCGCTCCAGTTATCGCCCCAGCCCTCGCAGTGATCTCTTCCGAGGGGAACGTCCAAGGTTGCCAGGCGGCGCCTCGCGACCGTGCCCCCGAAAACCTTCCTTTGAGAGAAATGCCGAGGATAGTTGACTGGCCAGTCACGTTTCCGGACGAATGTGTCTTTTGGTGAGCGCAGCTTGACTCGGCCACGTTTACTAAGACACATGGTTCAAGAGCGTCCTTGGCATCGCTCATACGCTGGCTCGCCCCCGGGCCTTCCAGGAGCGCACGGACACCGACGAGGCGGCGAGCGACGCCTCGGACGAAACGCCACGCCTACGCTACTGGAATTGGGGCATGAACAGGACTTAGCTGGATAAGCCGATCTCACGGAACGTCGGCGTGCCTGGTGTCAACGTCACTGCCACTGGACACCCTATTATACCGCCACGTCGGAATTCCCCGAAATAACAACCTATATTGACTTCATCGTAATCATCATCAGATTTTCATCGAAAGATCGACAGACATAAAGGTTAAACTGCTACCGGGATGCCACGGCTGGAGCTAGCTCTTCCTAATAGCAAAGAACCCCATACACTATAATATCGCGCTATTTGTTTTGTTTGCGCAGTTAAAAAAGAATGTTTATTGCATTCTTTATTCTGGGCCTTGGACCCCAGTCCTACAACACCTCCCGAGAGAATCGGGGAGGTGTTGTAGAATGTACCTTCCAAGAGAGAGTATCCGTAAATAAATAAATAAAAATATAACGCTAAACTCAAAAAGAAGTCCTGGAGTTTTACGGCGAAACTCAGCTTCATCACTGCCCTTGCTCTTGTTTGATGGCAGGTCGAGCAAACTTCCTGAAATTCTCATAGCGCGAGACGGATGCGTTCACGCGACGCCATGACTGGCCGACGTCCCGTTAAATTCGGCCATCTTTGCTCCCTGTCAAAGGACGCGTTGGATTGTTCGTCGTCCATCTGTCTGGCCCGCAAGGCATCGGGGCTCGTCGAGGGCACTCACCTCCTGTAGATGCCCGGGGGGATGGAGGTGTGCGGAAACCTGAAGGCAGCGGCCTGGAACTCGTGGCTGATGCCCGGATGCACGTCTGGCTTGTAGCCTGCGCACAGTGTCCGGGCTCAGCAGGCAGCCCGCTCACCTTCTCCTCGTTGCTCGGAATATCTCGCAGAACGAGCCCCAAAAAGAGTACGAGGAATTCCTCAACGAAAGTAGCGAAGGTAATTGTTCACTTACCTGTGTATTCTGTGACGTTCTCTCCGAGCAACGTTGGCACGTATTCGTAGACGATTACGTTCTGAAAGAAAGAAAAAATAAATAAACGTGTTCCGATTAGCGAGCTTTTCGATCATCTCTCAATTCACGCGGTCGAGGCAAACGACTGTCTAGCCCTTCACACTGGAGTAATATGTGCTTGGGCCCTGACGTTTTAAAAGCTTTTTCGTACAGGCGCCAAGCAACCCTGCTCTACTTTGTTAAAGCCACGCAGTTACTCTAGACGCGCCTTTAGCGCTGGAACATCACACTGCAGACAAGGGCGGCGAGTGGGATTCTTCCGCAGAACTCGCCAATGTTGCCTAATTTCGAATGCAGTAAAAACAACAAATTTCTCGAGTTCGATGCAATTAAATTAGATTAAAATTACGTCGGGGTGCATCTAAAATTATTTCAATTAATTTCAACCTTACCCCGAAGATGTGGCGGATACCCCGAAAAAAGGAACCTTCCTCAAGATAGTTGCCGATGTTTCCTAAAGCCTTCCTCAAAATAGCGGCCACTCAGAAGACGAGGCTTTTCCCCCGAAACGACATCGCCGTAGTGGATTCACGTAGCGCTTCCGCTAGCGTCGCCGCTAGCTCGTCTTGTCGCATCTCACAATGAGTGCGACTCCGGGACGTACGCGTGTGCTGCTTTGCGGCGACCCTCGCGGAGCTTCAGCATGTTTGGGGCGGGTCGAGAATCCACTAGAGATGACGTCATGAACAGGCCTTGTCTACTAGGCGGCCCACCTGCATGGCCGCGATGACGTATCTCCTGGCGTGCAGAAAGATGTCCTCGTCCGTCCAGTCCGGGTGTGTGTTCTTGATGCGCAGGGCGTGGACGTTGTGGTACCTGAAGAACAGGATGCCGAACGCTAGCAGGCCCGGGTTCTGGTTCGTCCGGGGGTCGCCCAGGACTGCGGGGCACGCGGGAAGAGAAAGGCGCCCTGTAGCCCAGCCGCTTGGGCACACGCACGGGCTCTGAACACACTCCGACGCCCGATGTCTCTCCGAAACGTCCGCCCCGAGGGATGGGCCGGGCGGTGGAGCCGGAATTGTACGATCCCTGTCAGTTCTGTGTACAAACGACCCCTCGATAAAATGGTCCTACATCGACCCTTTCCTCCTTTCCCTCTTTATTTCTTCCTCGTTCAATTACTTCTTTTCTATTTACCCTTCGAATAAGCGCAAGTGTCCGACATTTCGCTAAAAGTCTCTTGTTCAGAAATCTCATTCCTCGAAAGGAAAAAAAAAAAAGACGCCAAGGCCCTTAACGAGACGTCTGTTGCATAATGTTTGTCCCTACATTGTTTTTTCTTTCCCCCGCACTTTTTTGTTTTCTTTCTTTCCTGGGTTTGTTGAAGCTTACTATTAGATTGCAATTTTCTCGTTTTAATGAAAACTCTCTCGTCGGTTAGCTGGTGCCCGCGACAGCCACCGAGGCGAGCTGCCAGTTGGGGCAAAGTGGCGCGGATCTGGTGGAGCTGCGCCCCGCGTTCCCTCTGGGCTCGGCCCAGTCGCACTCTCTGGAGCCGTGTCCGAGCAAGAAGCCCCGCAAGCAACAGTCCCACTGCTTCTACTTGATGCATAACGCAGTGAGTTCGACGCAGACAGGGTGGCAGATTTGCCTGCGGTCACATTCGAAGCACGTTTGCTTCACACGTATGCTTGGGCCACGTCTGCAGTCAGTTTGTGCATAACCAAAGTGACGTCATACGAGGAAGGCCTCAGACAGCGTCTGCGGACTTTCTTTCGTACGGTGTATTGGCAGTATGTGGATTAATACATCATACTAAAGAAAGTCTGTGGACACTGTCTGAGGCCTTCCTTGTATGACGTCACACTGGCCCTACAAAAAACTGTCTGCAGACGAAGCAAAGGTGCTTCGAAACATGCGTGAGGTGTGTCTGCAGATACTTTTGTGTCTGCATCAGGTCTTATATACGAGCAGCCTGAGGCCGTATCTATGCACGTACTGAACATGCGCTCCGGGTTCATGATGCCCAGGTAGCGGGCGGGCGGCGAGTTGAAGAGCGGCACGCGCTCCTTGTTCTTGGGCGGGAGCCGGGAGTCCGTGTCGGCCGTGCGGAAGGTGCCGTTCTCGAAGGACCGCATCGTGTTGGCCCACGTCTCGCTCGTGCTGTACACGTACGACGCGTCGATCCAGCTCGTCGCCAGGTTCGTCTGCACACAGGCGCCACACGCAGTGCCGGTTAGCTGAGCGGCTCCGAGAAGCAGCCCCTAGGCCGCAGTGCCGAAGCCTCGACGTCACCCGTTCGAGGCCCGAGCGAGGCGGGGATTTGACACGACTGCTACATCGGAGCTTGGCTGTGCTCGTAGGAACCCCAGCCGATCGAAGCTCTCGGAGTTCCATAAGTCAACTCTATCTCCTTGTTACCTAGAATGTGTTCAAAGATCCTCCTCCCTGTCAGGGAAGACAAGCGTCTCTTCTTTCCTTGGGAACGAACCACGAAACAACCTATTCAACAGAAGCGGATTTGATCACCACCTGCTCAAACTCACTCGAATATCAAAGGATTAGTCTGGCGCGGTATTCCGACGCACGTGGCATTCGATGCAACCAATCCGAATGACACAATGTTGGTGCCATTCGTAATAGCACCAATCGATAATGAACCAAATAAAGCACTCCGAAGCATAGCTAAGTCAGCATTCGGGGAAGCCCGATGAGTTTGCAGGTGTCTACATGTATGTACACCCCTCACACTCTCTAAGGAGTATTCACTCGGCGCCATATTTGTGGGTGTTGTCTAGAGCGCATGCTCAGAACGAGCCCCCCCATTAATAGGCTGCTAAGACCGGCCATTTTGACGGTGTGGAATGTACGTTGCAAAAGAACCCTGGAAGCTAGTTATGAGCACGCGCTCAGCAGTCCCGTACACAGCTATGGCCGCCAGTGAATACTAGCCTATAGAGTGTGAGGCTCAGAAAGCTGTTGCTTTGAATAAGCACAGACAACGCAGTGTCCGCCAGGTTTAGCTCATGCTACTCCGCGATTCATATCTACCCAAGTTCTCCTATTACTTGCAGGAGGTGCGGACCCAACTGGACCAAGAGCTCACTCTTCACCGAAGCAATATACCTATTCTTATATTACCCAAGCATCAAGGAGAATGCAGGGATTGGTGTTCCACGCGCCGGACGTGCTGGCCTCAGCAGTAGTAACTTTTCTAAAGCAAACACCTAAAACAAACGGCATCTTGCACAAGCGGTCGTCAGCACTTTATTTTGGTTATTTACTTCGCATCTTTTGTACAGGGAAGGCGTGCGCGTGTGGGCGCGTGGAACACCAATCACTGCATTCTCCTTGATGCTTGGGTAATATAGCAAATGGTCTATCGGCTGCTATCCTGCTCCTCAACGCTGTAAGCGTACCCCACGCTAAAGGGGTATTCACACGAGAGAGAAATCCCGGGGATTTCTCTACAGCACGCGCATCCCGCGACGAAAACGTCAGGCTTTGCGATGTGCGAAAGCCTCGCGTCTTCATCTCGTGATGCGCGCGTTGCCAGGGAGAAATCCCCGGGATTTCTCCCTCGTGTGAATACCCCTTAAGGAACGATGCCAACGGCAAGAATTTTGAGCGTTGGGTTTAATTCTAACCGAATGCCGATATGCGAGCTAGGAGGCCCTCTAGTTGACCTGTCGCGCTTTCCGTCTTCTTCTGTGTATCAATGTGTACGCGTATCTAAGAAATTTCATCCCAAATCTGAAATACTTCTAGGGCGTTAGTTTTAATTTCCGAGAAAGGGTTCGATGAGAAAGTATAGTATTTATTTTGTGTACCTGAAAATGCATTACGCAATAAAACACACGTATCATTACAGTTTGACGTACAATAATCTATAATCGATAAATCAATGGAGTCGAATGTAAAATTATGAGTGAGCACAGTCAAGGTTCCATTCACGAAGAAACTAATTCAAACTTGCTCAGGAAGAACGCTACAGAACACATATGTGTGAATGCCCCAGGTACGCTAATTACAACTGATTGCTGAGTCAGTCGCACAAGCGCTTTCTTAGCTCTATTACGTTGCTCGAATCAGAGCAGCCGTAAAATGTGAAAAAGACTTTGCCTTCGTTTATTTCCCTCGCAGTAAACGAGCACGTCGATCTAGCTTACCAAGCCGAGACGTTCGAACCTTCTCGGGGAAGAGGACTGAATGACGATGCCTCGATCGAAAAGCTTTAAGGAATAAAGTTTGCCTTCTCTCTCCAGTAAGACGAAGCGGACCTTCGGGCCTCGCTCGCTCAGAGTTCCGTCCAAGCCTCCGGCGTGACAAGGCAAAGCAAACTTTGCCCCGCCAAGGGCGGTGCCGCGAGGGACATCAGGAGGAGACCGATCACTGCCATCTGCAATCCCCGTATTAGCGGTTGCCACGAAGAAAGAGTTCCCCGAGCGACAATTGGTAACGAGGGAAGGAGGTTTTGCGAGGATGTCTTCATTGCGCACGCGACGCACCCCGTCTTCTTTCCTCCCATCGGTTGGCGGCCTCGCCATAATGACGACTGCCGAGTCCCGCGACAAACACAGGGGTAGGCAACGAGGAATTGGCCCCAAGTAAACAGCGCCTGGGGGCGGCCGCAGGTTCCTGACAGATTGAGACGATCGTCGCAAAGATCCGCGATCCTCCCCTGCAGCCGAGGTCGCAACCACACACCAGACGAAATGGACCGGGGATAAATCATCGACGTTCCGCGTCGGTCCGCATCCTTCTCGGCGAAGCTGGGCCGCTCCGCGACGCCGCTCGCAGCCAGATGCCCGGAAAGAAAGGAAATGCGCGCATTCCGCGTCCTGCAATCCGGTTCTCGCCCAGTGCGTTGCCCCTCGCCGGAAGAACCCAGGCTGCCCTGGCTGTTCCTATCGCGGTGCCAGACACCCTCGGTCGTGCATTCGGGCAGCGGGGAAGATGCTTTGGGTCTCTTCGCCCCGCTGACTCGTAATGAACTAAGCACCGACCGTCACTCCGTTGCATTCGGGTTACTCTCCAAATTTTTTATGGCGATGTCCGTCAATTTTGCCTTATGCCCATTCTGCCATTTACTGTAATCACTGACGGGTTGACAACGGCGTCTCGTTCGGATGTCTCCCAGCAGGAGTTACCTTCCCCCGTGCTCGGCTGCGCGTGCACGCTCGATGCTCACGAGGCGTCGAAGCGTTGTCGAAGATGGGAAGCTCGTGTCAAAGTCGGGACAACCGAAGGACCTCCCCGTCGCTGTCATCCTGACAGAAACTCGGTTCCAATTTCTACAAGGTCACAGCCCAGCACGCGCATGTGGATGGTCGAGCGCGTTGGTGTCTCAAAGAGGGACAGAGAGGACAATACAGACAACACATGCGTGTGTCGTCTGTATTGTCTTCTACGTGCCTCTTTCGTTTTCGTCATTAAGGCACGCGTACGTTCGTCTCTTCGGGAAGCGAGCATAGCAGACAGCATATACGCACGAGCGCAACGCCCAGGAGCCCTGTTTTGGAATGGAGTCAATAGCGTCTGCGTCAAACGTCCGAGCAAGCCCTACTTTATCCGAGCGCACTCTAGGCACACACCGTACGCGAGTGCGTTCTTAGCGTTCGGTTCGGCCATTGTTCCAGACATAGCATCGGCGGACGCCTGGCTTCGATTTTGAACACATGCTCATTATCAAGACCAAAACAAAAAAAGAACACGCGACCACTAATGTCGCTGAACGGGATTTGGAAAATGACTCTATTAATTTGCTCGTTGTCCACAAAGTCCCCTAGTAATCTCATTAGAAAGGTGTATAGCTGCGCCAGCCCCGGCCCGACGCGTCCCGCAGAGGCAGGCGCGTGCCTCAGGGAGCGGACACGCCCGGCTGCGATCGGCGGGCTGCAACCGGCAGCGTCTGGGCGACCGATGGCCGGCTTCCGCGTCCATAAATCCTGGCCGCCCTGACCCTGATGCCGGACCGCCCCGGCCCAGACGCGCCACGACCCAGCGATAGTGGATGCACGCAGCGCCTGTAGCTTGCATCGCCGTCAGCAATTCTCGCAGCGTCTCATAAGGAGCCCGCGACGCTAGCGCGTGGCGACGTTAAGACTCTCGTCAGACTTCAGTGTGTTCGTCGCTTGGGGCGGCTCGGAGATCCACTAACGATGACCTCACAAGCCAGTCTTTCGGGTGACACGCGTCTGGTCTCGCTGTACCCAAGGCGCCCTCCGAAGAAGAGGACCAGCGCGTACGCTTTCCCGCAAAGCTCCGCGAAACCAGTCACTGCGATGAATCAAGGGCTGTCCAAGCAGAACACGACTTCACTATTCTGCTCCATCCCACTTTCCGCTGCCGCTTTGTGCACGCGCCGGTAGACCAGTCCAATAAAGAACTGCTGGCAGGTGCTATTTCAGTAATCGTGCGTTTGGTGCGTGCTTTGCTCGCTTTCTGAAGCGAGTAACACGCGCGTGCTGGGGTAAGTTGGATACTCGGCGAGAAAGTCGGCGGGATAGCCGACCGCCGCGATTGGCCGGTGCCGTGCTTCACGTTGGAGCTGGCAAATTGCGGCGGTCGGCGATTTTGCCAACGTTCTCGTTGAGTGTCCGAATTAGAGCCCCTGGACTGCGCAGTTGTCAACATGTTAAGGCGTACAGAGCGCAGATTTCTGCCTGAAAGAAGATTCTCGTGTTCCGTGTCAACCGTCTTTCATAGACGGCAAAAAATGGCTCACCCGCTTCTCTGTTTTAACTTCAACATAAAGCGTGCAAGTTTCGAAGCACTTTATGAACAAGTCAACTGAACAGCGAGCCTTCAGAAGAAAAAAGAAGGTGCCTCCTCACTTGTCTGTTTCAAATGATTATCAAGTAGTACGTTTTAAAAGCAGGCTATATCTGTCCAATTCAAAGGGCGTCTGGTGTCTCACTTGTAAGAGAAATTTAGTCAGTGCACTTTGACTCCTAGCACGGGTGTCTGTAACGTGCGCCAAGCAGCCGTGTAGCACCAAAGCACGCCGGTGCTTGGTCAGATCGAAACGGGCAGGGGTGGGTATCGAACCAGGATCCACCTTCGGTCCTGCAGTGCGAGCGTTTTCATCACGTGCTCCAGGACTGCCACCGATCCCCGCTCCGCTTCGGGCAATTCGGACGGTGAAGCGCCATATACTTCGGAGACCTTTTTTCTTTTCGGCGTCTCGGGGTACGTGGAGCAGCCC